TTGTCAAATATCTTCATGGAACATGATCTTTACTTAATATCCTAATGATTTTTGGCATAAAAGAAAAATCAATAATTTTGACCCATACAATGTATTGTTGGCTATTGCTACAAATAAACCTGTGCTACTTATGACTGGTTTTGTGCTCCAGGTTGACAAATACATTTCTTACCTGATATGGAATTTTAATTTATTTATTCATTCATTCATACAATGTGTTTGGCTGCAATTATTTTTGCTAATGAGGATGTAACCAGTTATTGACTCTCTTCTCATACAATGACATTGGGTGTTATATAACCTTTAAAAAATGAAATAAAATTATGTATGCATTCATATTTAAAGATAAAAAAAAAAAGATCAAAGATCATAGTTTTTGGCTGAAATGCAAAAATGCAGACACTATGAGTCCAGAAAACCGCAACCCTGAAAGCATGTGGAGGCTTGAAACCAATACAAGATAACACATGCCAAATTAAAATGAAACGTTTTCAGGAATAAAATAATCAGCAGGCAAATATTGCAGACGATTATGCATAATAAATTGAGAGAAAATATGATTTATAATGACACTATTGTCTTTTAGAGAATCTGAACCGTTTGCTAGTGGAGTTTCTATATTTAATTCTGTTATTTTCCTGTTTATCTCTGTGAAGCTGCTTTGACACGATCTGTAATGTATAAAGCGCTGTAGAAATAAAGGTGACTTGAATACAGAAAGGAACTGATTATCATTAAAATTCGGGATAAACCAACCATTATTCTGTTTGCTCACTAAAGCCAGATTTTTAGTCACATTTGGCACATGATGAGTGTTATTTTATGACGGCTGAAGAGAGTTTTGTGTACAAACCCCAGGTCATCGTGAAAAATGCTGCTGGCTGTGAGTCCTGCTGTCTGCTCTGCTGACGGTCCAGTCACTGTTGTATCGCCAGCAACGACCTACACACACACGCACACACACACACACACACACACACACACACACACACACACACACACACACACACACACACACACACACACACACACACACACACACACACACACACACACAAACACACACACAGACACAGACAGACACACACACATCACATCCGCATTCAAATAAAACACCCCATATGAGTGTGGATTTCAATGGCAGTTTCCAAAATGAAACAAAATAGCTGTTAGTTTTGAATGAGGTGTGTAGAGAACTGTGTTTAGAGTTTTGCAGAAAGTTTGTTTCACAAGAGCAAACTGAGTTTAAAGCATGTAATGTGCTTGTAGTTTAGCAGTCTTGGTCTATATGCGATGGCTGCTGTGCCGTGGTGCTTTGTACCTGTAGCTGAATGATGCCTGTCGTGTTCTTCAGCAGTGAAACAGCTTTATTGTGAGTCATTCCCTCAGTCGAGTCTCCACAGATAGATACAATCCTGTCTCCAATCTATTCCACACACAAACATAATAAACACGAGAGACTGCGATTCACAATTGACCCTTATGACTGGTTTTGTGCTCCAGGGTCACAAATACACACCAGCTTCAGTAGACCTTCCACTGGACAAAAAAAAGTTTTGTAACTCTGGTTCAGATGTTAAACACACACATACCCAGAGTTTCTGCGTCTGAGCTGCCAGGCCGCTGGGGTTCATCATGGCGATGAATATGGGCACATCACCCAGAGGACTGCCGACCCCTCCTGCTATACTGATGCCCAGAGAGTCTGACGGGCCCTGAGACACACACACACACACACACTCGCACACACACAGACACACACACACACACAGACACAGACACAGACACACACACACACACACACT